GTAATATTGCAACAGACATGTACGAGATGTGGATAGTGTTCGGTGGACACGACGGTGTGGTTAGTGTTTGGGGATAGCATGTATCCATTTGGTCATGACAATGTGGTCAGTGTTCGGGGATACCTTGTATCCATTTGGTCATGATGATGTGGTCAGTGTGTGTCCATTAACCAAATTTGTGTTGTGTTGTGAGAACTAATTGTTTTCTCTAATATGCATATAAGAGACTTGTAAAAGAGAAAACCAAAAAATTATTTTTAAAAATCCAATGAGAGCGAAAGTTTGGAATTTCAAATTAATTTTCTTTTGCTAACAAGTGAACTCGAGAGTTAAAATGTAGGAAACTAACATAATTCATATATTTCAGATTCATAGTTGATAATCTTTTACCTATCCACATGGATAGTTGGAAATGGTCAAGATGTGATGGTTATGTATCATTCGGTACTATGGTTGATATGTAATGGACATACACAATCACGTGTCATCCACGCTAACTTGTCCACAATACTTTACCCATGCTAACTTATCAATGATACATTTGTAAACTAATTCTAATTTGTCCACACAACCTTATCCATGATACATGCTAGCTTATCCACAACATTTTATCCACAAAAAAATAATCAAGAAATCACCACCTTAGTGATGCGACTTCGGTCTGCAAGGAAGCAATCTTGTCTTCACTTTCTTTAAGGAGTTTCTAACAATAAACAATAATATATCATTTGTAAGCTTGAAGTTTTATCTGATATATATTCACGAGGTGGTGGATGGATCAGAGATTACAAGCTTCGTTAAATGATCATCGACATTATGTTGTGGATAATGCATCCTGGACTTTTGTTATGGATACTGCATCCTGGATACAAATACTTCTCCATCCCGTTTGAACACAACATAAGACATTGAATAAAGCTTCTCTATCCAAAGATCATCCATAAATAGACATCCATCTGTGGCATCCACAAGCTAAACAAGAATTTGTAAGATAGCAGAACCTCATCATTCCCATATAAAAATCTCAAAGAGGAACAACATAAGCTCATAAAACCATGAAAGCAAGATAAAGCTACTAAAAATTAAACCCATAAAGTACAACACGCAACCCTATATTCACACATAAATCCATCACAAAATAGATTATTGAATGAATTGGAGAAACTGAAAAAGTGAAGTCGAGACCAGTTTTATAGTATCCATGAAACTGTGACCAATTTATATTGTCCATATAGACACGAATCCGAGCAACAACAGATTCGTTCTTGAATCCTAAACTACATACTGAGATTTAGAGTTGATGGCCCAAATCCTAAGCTACAATTTTCAAACTACTAATCTTATCAATGAATTGGTTCTGACTAATCTCAAAGCTAATCGATCTATTTCTTCATGAAACCGTAAAACCCATCAGTGTCTTCAAAAGGAGTTTCTTTGTATCTTCATCCATCTTCTCATCTTCTCCGGAAATAACCTTCTTCACTCGCTTCGCCTTACTGTCCTTCGAAGTCCCTTTACTTGGCCGCTTCATACTTGATTTCACCGCCGGAAAAGCTAAAGTAGTAGAAGACAAATCTTCCTTCTTCTTAGGATTAGTTTCCCAGATCTAGTATTGTGATTCATTGAAGCTTGCTCGGTTTCAGAGTCGGAATCAATCTCGGTCTCAGATCCAAAATCTGAATCGAGCCCTTGGTTTGTTGCGGTGGAAGAGACGGTGGATTTACCTGGAACGATGATTGAACAATGGCGGTGGGAATACTGGGTTCATCGGAAAAAAATCTTCTTATTCTCCAACTAAAATATATTATGATAAAAACTTAAAAATGAACAAATGCTAGTAACTAGAAAATGGCAAATTAGATATTAACAAATTTAGTTAAGGGTAATATAGACAATATACAAGCCCAATATATACCTCCCTTGCAAAATGCCTTTTAGTGAAAAGAGTTTAAATGAAATTACTTATATATGTAATCATCCCGAGAACGACACATATATTGTTCTTAATTTGGGCTCAACAAGAAAATAAAATAAAAATTACTCGTCAAGAACAACTAACAACTCATCTTGCTCTCCACCTTCACATGGATGGGTTAAAATGTGATCACGAGGGAACTTACCACCCATCAAATAGTCAAACTGGGGCTGATTGGATTTTACGAAACACCAACGACGACTTCATTCGCGGAGCTTCATCTTTTTTATCTAAAGCAAAATAAGCGTTTGAAGCCAAAAGATATAAGTTACTTCCCGCTATGTAGATTTTGTGGCACTGAGGTTATCGTAATATTATCTTTGAAGGCAATTCATAACAACTCGTCGATTTGTTTCACGAAGACATGAAAATATATTTATGGACAATTTGATAAACGATCTTCATCACTTATCTTCTCATTTTACCGGAAATCAAATTGTACATGTTGGTCGTCATATCAATATAATAACATATAAATTAGTTCAGATCGGTCATTTTTGACACTTTTTTTGTTTTTAAACGA